CAGATATCACAGAGTGACAGTAAGAAAATGGAGAAATAAGCTCTGGTACATTCATACAAAGGGATTCCATGCAGCCATTAAAAATGTTGATGTAGATGGACACTTATCAACATAAAAAGATGAACATAATGTATTAGTGAGTTCTAAAAATAGGTTATAAAATAGTATGGACAAAACAAACCTATTTTGGTAAATGATTATATTTATATGTATACATATTAGAAAAAGTCTGGAAGGATATAAAACAAACCTGTTTAACACTGCTTTTCTAAAGCTAAAGAATTATACGTTGTTATATTTTTCCTTCTTTGTGTCTCTATTATTTTTAAATTATGCGTCATAAATGTGTTACCAATACAAAAAAAAAATTTAAACTGACCCACAATAATGTCATGTGATAAGAATTTGACCACAACTTTCTTTTAAAGAAAAGCTTTAAAATCCCTTAGATCCTTAGAAAAAAATGTAAGTACTGATTGCATTTTGAGGCAACCAGAAGAAAAAAAAATGTGACAGCCTCTAAAACTGTTCTCTTCAAACTCTACTGTTCATAAGAATAGAGTTCTTATTGTTTACAAGGATATTTGTTAAAATGCAGAGTCCCGGCTTCCAGAACATCATTCTATAAATCTGGGCTGGGGAACCAATGATGGGCATTTCTGACATCTCCCCCTGGCCCATTCACAAGAGACTTTGATGCAGGTAGTCCACTTTGGAAACCACTGGTCTTAAACAATGGCACTATAATAAAAAAGGGTAAAGGGAGGAAAAATGGTCCAAGTGAGGCATTAGAAATCATCTAAGTTTTAATTCTCGTATTTCCAAGCTAAAAATTCTGAAGGCCAGGGAGGTCTGGTGACTTGCAGGAGACCACAGGGCTGGACTCAAACCCACATTTCCTATAATTCTGTGAACAGCACTTTGTCCACTAATGCACAGCACAAGGTTCCCTCCTCTAGCTCTGGAGGCATGGGGTGCTTCCCAGGTGATTCCTTCACAAATCTACCTCCCTCCTGAACACACAATGCTGAATGCAGCTGTCCAAATAATATCTAATGGCCCCATGACATAATGTGTCCTCCTAATGGCAATATAAGATGTCCAAAGTACCGCTGACTTACTTTAAGCAAAATAAACAAAGCAGGGCATTTATCTTCATTTATCTTCATTCTTCCTTCTCCAAGTCCATTCAACATTACTGTGAAATTATTACAGTAACCTCTAAAAAGTCTCAGTAGTTAATCCCCAGTGCCAGAACACTCTTCCTAGAGAAACACTTTCACTAGGCATCTTCCCATTCAAAAATCAACAATGACTTTTAAAATGCAAATACATTAATAGTTTCTTTTAATTATTGAGACCTTCAACATATACAAAAGTAGACAACAATACAATAAATCCCTGTGTTCACATCAATA